TTTCTCTTTCAGATCTTAGGGCTTCATAAGATACCTTCTAAAATTCAAAGCTTACCCTACTTGGAACAATTACAGGTCTAAACTGATGATAGCCAAAGGGAATGACTACTTTTTTCTCAGCACCTGACATATGCAGGTAGCAGTCTCCTCTTTAAATGTCAGGGTCTCCGTGACCTCTTGCACAGGTTTATTACTGTAACTATACTCTAACTATTTTTCTTTACCAAATACCCTCTCCTCATTAGTAGGTATATCAGCCCCAAATAAATCCACTATTTGTTTTTAGTTTAGCTTTATTCTGTCATTCAGTAAGTAACCCTTTACCAGCAAGGAATGAATCACCAAAATTTATTCATATGCTTGTCAACACAGCCTTCTACTACATGTATTAACAGTTTATCAATGAATTAAAGCCTTTAAATTAAGATACATTAGCAAATTTTCAAAACCCCTTCTGTTTTTGATCAATAAAATTATTAATTAGGAATATTTACTTGTGACAGATTTATCTAAGTCAAATTTCTTTGAAAAAATCTTGTAGAAGTCTATGCATAGATGAATAACATTATTGGGAGGGAAAAATGTGTGAGAGGTAGAGGTTGAATCTAGAGACAAGATACTGAAAATTTGAAAATATTCTAATTCATAAACTTAGAATACAAGTGAAGAAAAAAGTGTATAGAATCAATAACAAGAATTAAAGTAGACTGAATATGAAAAGGGAAGGAAAATGCTAAATCTAACCATACATCATCTTGCTCCAAAGCTGATTTCTTTGGCATTTCTTGGGCCTTCTTACCCCTCTCCACAGCCACACTATGACAGAACCACAATCAATGCTTTAAAACAGATGCAGATAATGATGGTAACATTGTGCAGGGTCAGAAAGTAGGATAAAGGAGAATTTTAAAAGAAAAAATTTTAATATATTGAATATTTACTTTGTGATTAGATAACTGGTCAGATCTCTAATCAATCAATCAGGAAATCAATACTACTTAATTTAATTTTATTTTATCATTGTATTTTTTTAAACAATATCTTCATTAAATAAGGAGTGTGCTGTTCTGTTGTAGATTTATAATAGGCATATTGTAAGCTAGAAGAAATGCCACCAGACGAGAGAGACTGCAGATAGAAAACAAGCTGAAATTTGCAAATAGATAATAGGTCATTTACATAACATGATTATCTTCATCATGTCCAGAAACAAAAAAGGGATTCAAAGAATATTTTAAGAATGTCCTTTTATCTCTTAAAGGAAGCAGGAAAAGTGGCTAAAATAAAGTACTAGGGAGAATAAAAAGACATTGCCTTCAAATCTGAAATCAAAGCGAGATGTCAGGTTTTGCAGGAATCTATTTCAGTGCAACAGCAAAAATAGGCTGACCTCTAAAATCAGTGAGCTGAAAGGCTTCCATCCCCTGAATTAGGTAAAACGGCCATTCTCCACCCCAGCAACACCCCAATGCCAACTTCCCATTCCTTGGTGACTGTGTAGTACCTGTTCCCTGGCTCCTGTTTTACAACTATGAATCTGATGCCTTCTCTACTTTGCTCTTGGCATCTTGTATCCAGACCTAACAACCCGTCCTTGGTTGGCCCTGCAGCTTTGCTCAAATATTATCTTTGGTATTAAGGTTAATTCTAGATGTCAACTTCATTTTTATTTATTAAGGAATGCTGGAGCTGGGATACACTCTTCTCTCCTGCTCATGGATATCAGAACTCAAGATTCTTCAGCTTTTGGGTTTCAGGACTTATACCAAAGACACCACCAGCTTCACTGGTTTTGAGGCCTTTGGACTTGGACTGAGCCATGCTGCCGGCATCCAGTTTGCAG